TCCTTGTTGAATATATGTTCCCCAAACTATTGATTTAGGTTTTCCACCAACTTTTCGTTTAGGCAATGAAGTATCATTGGTTGAAGTACTTGAATTAGCCTCCATTTTGTAAGATGCGAATGCATTAATGTTTGTCTTACCAATAATGTTATATATTTGATTTTCACGTGAATAATTAAGTTTCAGAGAATTTCAATTAATTCGGATTGAATTTCGGATTTGGGCAGTATCGGACTCAATCGAACATTTCAGAAATTTTTTGTTGAGGCATAACTAATATCGCCTAGATTTCAGATTCAGATCGGGCATAATTATCAGGTTTCGCCCGAACCTTTATTCCTTCCTAAAATCAAATCATCAGAACTTCTTCCAAAAAAACTTGAATATGATAGCCGTCTTGTTATGAATCAGCTTGGTGAATATTATCTTTGTATATCCAGACCACTTGAAATGTGGGCTGAAAACCAAGGTCTTATATTTCAAAATGTTTTTGTCTATTTTTTTTATTATTTATATTATTTATTAAATCAAAACTTCAATTAATTTTATATTTAATAATTTAATAGGAAGAATCAGGAGTGATTTCTTTGGATCCAGGTGTATGTATATTTATGACCGGTTATGATCCAAGTGGAATGGCTATTGAATGGGCAAAAATGACATTGGCCGAGTTTACAGATTATGTCATGCATATGACAAACTCCAAAGCAAGCGTTATCAAATTCATGGAAAAAAGAATAAGCGAAAACGTTACAGGTAAAATTTATTAATCAATTAATTATAATATTTATTATAATTTAATGTATTTACTACTTTTAATTGTAGATTACGTCGTGTTATGTTACGAATCTGTCTTGTGAATGATTGTCATTATAAGCTGGCTAAATGGCTGTGTGAAAATTATCGTATAATATTATTACCCGAATTTCGCACTCAAGGAATGGTCCGACGTGGGCAACGACGTATTGGCTCCAAGACTGCTCGAGCCATGTGTTCATGGTCACATTATCGCTTTCGACAGCATTTGATCCATAAGTCACGCGAGTATTCATGGTGCCAAGTCGTAATGTGTACAGAAGAATACACAAGCAAAACTTGCGGATTCTGTGGCTATATTCATAAAAAACTAGATGGATCCAAAGAATTTTGCTGTCCCCAATGTAAAATAAAACTTGCGATCATGAGAAAAACCAAATTTTATACATACGTGTCACAATTAATTTTTCATCAATATTATTTTTTGTTGTATGACATATGTGATTGTCAATGAACCCCCCGAATCTACATTCTATAGAATTCCAAATGATGATCATTTTTTAAATTAACGAATGATAACTTGATTATGCACTTTAGCCCAAAGTTCTGGAACGCTAAAATGGAATTCCAATTTATAACGATCTTTTTTTTTATAGAATTTTCCAAAAATTTTTTGGGGGGGAAAATAAAAAATATATATACTTGTAATTTCTCATTTAAAGCGTATTGACCTCTCAGTATTGATGTTATTAGTCAAATCATAAATTTTAATCGACTGAGATTAACCAAGGAACAAAAATCTTTAATTGATGATTGAAAATTTGAAAAGATGTTCGGTTTATGTAAATATTGTGGTCAGGCTAATACGGGTTATGATTGGTGTCAATTTTGCAATTCCCAACATTTTCAACAAAATTTCAAAAACTGGACGAGTGGTAACCAAGACGTTGATGGATTCATTCAAAAGACACAACTCAAGGCAAAAGTTAAAAATGAAGTGATAGAATGGATTGATTATAATAAATTTGAACATGTTGAATACTTGGCCAAAGGAGGATATGGAATCACTTATAAGGCCTATTGGAAAAATGGATATATAATTTATTGGGATTCCAAGAAGAATCGGTGGGAAAGGAGTGATACCATTCAGGTCGTTTTAAAAAGTTTACATAATTCACAGGATATTACAGCGGAATTCTTAAAAAATGTGAGGGATTTTATTTTATTTTTTTTTTGTGACGATCGCACAAACTAACCAATCCTTTTTTTTTTTTTCAGATTGAATCACATATTTTAATGAATAACGCATTTTTCATAATTTACTGCTATGGTATCACCAAAGATCCAAAAACAAATAACTTTATGTTAGTAATGGAATATGCAGAGAATGGTAATTTAAGAACCAACTTGGATAAAACTTTTAATTCAATGAATTGGTGGAATAAGTTGTACCTTTTAGAAGAAATTGCGTCTGGACTTAAAGATATTCATAATAAAGGATTAATTCATCGGAATTTTCATTGTGGCAACATATTAAATAATATAATGATGTCTACTTGCATCAGTGATTTGGGGTTATGTCAACCAGCGAATCATAAACATATGCACGATAGCAAAAGGCAAATATATGGGGTGTTACCTTACGTTGCTCCCGAAGTTTTAAGAGAAAAAGAATATACCAGGGAAAGTGATATTTATGGATTCGGAATCATAGCACATGAAGTAGTTACAGGATTTCCTTCTTTTCATGAGGTAGCTCATGATGAATCTTTGGCGATAAAAATTTGTCAAGGATTGAGACCAAGATCTGATTATAAAGTTCCATTTCCAATCCTAGATATCATTAGTCAATGCTTGGATGCAGATCCTTCAAAACGTCCTACAGCAGAAGAGCTATATAAAATGTTATACGAATTAAGATGCGATACTATTAATAGCGGATCGATCATTTATAATCAAATTAATGACGTAGAAGTCTTTAATAAGGCACTATTTTCTTCAAAGCCTACTGATCCCCTTTCATATAAAGTACATCCTCAGGCAATATACACGAGTAGGCTATTGGATTTTGAAAATCTTCCTGAACCAAAAAATGCGGACGGTTCATTTGACAAAGAATATCCTAGTAAGTAACATGTAATTTTTATAATTATTTTTTTTCATTATTGCTTTAAAATCTGTATCTCTTTATTGACTACTTTTCTTCGTATTAAAAAAAAAAAGATTCAATGAAAAGCAAGTCATTGAAAGAAGAAGATTTGTATTAAATTCTATATCATAGTATTTAAGAATAGGTTATAAAATATATTTTTTTGAAGATATCGGTTATTCTTTTCGAATTACATATTTTATCTTATGAATTATTTTCGTCAAAATAAAACCATTGCTATTTATCCTTTATTGTTAAATTTCATCTTGTTTAAATGAGATTCTACACATAATTTACAAAAGGGTCTTTCTACATAAGGACTTCTTTATATGAGACACGGAGTGTGATGATATTTTTTTTTGTTTATCAGGATTTAGTTCTTTTGGATCTTGAATATTCTTCTCAATAACTTTACCTTTCGGAATGGTTCATGATATTCTTTGTAATGATTGATGAGTAGAACTGTAACCCTTCATCTATCGTTAACGTACTTTGTCGTTTTATATTGAGAAAATATGATATCTAATAATTTTGATGATAACAAAATTGTTAAAATCAAATTCTTGATGACAATACTTATAGATTTAGGGTTTAGAATTCATTTTTTAGAAAGAATTTTAAATAATAAGAGCTATTTCATTATTGAAAAAAAGCATCCCCTTTGTACCTGTAAAATTCTGTTACGAAATAACGTATCAATACATGCGATTTTGTAGTTTGGTATTTAGCATGAAAAACATGTATCTTGTTGATATAATAAAGCAATGCAAATTTTGTCATTAAATTAAAAAATTTTATTAGATGGATAAATTCTTTAATTTTAATCGTTAGAAAATAGGTAAAGGTTTACCCTTGCTCTATTAATATTATTCATATTTAACCTTCTAATTCTTTCTTTATGGATTTTTTTTTTAACTCACTCTTTATCAGCATCGCAAACACTACCAATTTGCTAGAAATGCCAACATCTTAAGAAGATACACTCTTTTCTAATATTAATTGCATTCTTTTTTTAGTTTTACAATTTAATATAATTGTTAATAATACTAAATAAAATATAAATAATTTTTTACTTTTTGTATTAAATAATATATTTTTCAATTGAAATGTCATAAAAGGTATTACTATAGGGTATTATTATTAAGAGTTAAATTCTTATAAATGAATACCCTGAAGAAATAATAGATCTCGTAAAACGGAAAAAAAACTTTGCATATTTTTATCACTTTGCGGTAAAAAAGTTATGTTTCTAAATAATAAAGTTATTCTGTAAATATAACTAATTTGAGATTTATTAAAATAATTCAACATAATTAGAGTTTATAAAACAAGTATTAGATAAGTTCGAGCAAAACAAACATATAAAAAGAGTATTGGGCGAAAAAAATTGATGATAGTTTTATTGTTTGAATACGAAGCCAAGGGAAATTGGAACTTGGGAATGATTTTTAGATGTAATTGATGTGGGTATTCAGCCTTTTATATTCGTTTATAATGAAAATATTATATTTATCTATTACATATAGGCCGTATTCAACAATGACTTATTAATTGTTTGATAAAACATGAGTTTTAACGTAAATTTCCTTATAGTTTATTTTCGACGTTGCAGGTACATACACTTGACTTCTCATATTCTATCATGATTTATAATTAATTAAATACCATATCCTGTAATTTAATTGTGCACACAAGGTTTTGAATTGTTTCATGTTGTTAGTGATGCTGCGATGTCCGGCAAGCACTGAGTAAGATCCAATGGAAATAATAATCTTAAGAAAATATCTGACTTCTATTTTTTTTTTAATGTAGTAAAATTTAAACATAAAATAATATAAATATTTTTTACCGATTCATGCACGCAAAATTTGTATTGAGATCGTAATAAAATTTGTCAGAATTTTCATTGACATTTATTTGAATATATATCCTTATGAGAAAGGAGATAATTAAGAAATTGGTATTAAAAATTTAAAATTATAAATATTGTATTGTTATGGTACGTATGACATGAATCGCAACATTTTATGCACATTTAATAACCTTCAAAAGCTTCTAGATTCCCATTCCAATATTTTAATAATCGTGACTTTTTCAATTTCAACCATCTATCCTTCATTAAATTTTCTAATAAGATCTCTCTAACCACTCTAACCGCTGAATTTAAAGCTCCAGCAATCCAAGCGTTATGTATATCAGTGTGTTCCCCAGCCCAATGAATAAATTCTTCCGATCTCATCATAGATTCCATCAACTTTCCTAATTGTGCGGGTCCATACTTTGCGTAGGCTCCCCCAACAACTGTTTTATCATTTGACCAATAATGTGCCTTATTATTTTCTATACCCGGAATCCATTCCTCATATGCTATTTCTCCATGAAGTGTTACCAAGTCTTTTAATGCAAGTTCAAACCGTTCCTCCTCGCTGTATGGACTAAATTTTGTTGCATCATCATCCCACGTATACGATGCTAAGAGGACCCCAGAACCATTCGTTGATAGACCTTGATAATATGAAGGGTATACCACTGTACGAACTGGCAGATCGGTCGACGTTGTACCACCAACAATACCAGCACCCGAGGTCGTGGGTTGGCCTTCTTTCTCCCAGAAGCGAGACTTGAATTGAAGAAATATCTTTCCTGCATTTAGATATTTCAATTCACGAATTGCACGTTTTTTGCCATATGATAATGCTACCAAAGAAATTATGGTTAAGATTTTTATTATATTTTTTTTTTTTTTTTTTTTTTTTTAAAAAAAAAACTTACTTAGAGGTAGATCCCAATGACGAACGACGCCCAATGGAGGAGTGACAATCACTCTATCAAATATTTCAAATTCTTTCTTTCCCTTAGAATTCCAATACACCTTAACATTCTTACCATCATCAGTTTTTTCAATCTTGTAAACTTCACTGTTGTACCTCAGGTCTATCTTTTCCTTTTTGATAAAAGGTAAAAATGCGTTTGGGAATCGTTGCATTCCTTTATCAATGGTTTTCCAGCTTAAAGGATATTTTGGATTTCCAAAAGTAAATGTTCCAATAGCAAAATCAACGAAGCCCTTAGTAAACTCGTCTGGAATTGTATAAAAAGCACATAGTTTTGTTACATTAGAAAATTTTTCAAAAAATATATATATATATATATATATATATAATAATAAATTGTTACAATACATACTTGTTCCAGTCACTTGCAATTCAATAGCTGCGATAATTTCATCATAGTCTTCCCACTTTGTTGGCAATCTCGCTGGAAGAAAGACTTCCTTCAAGTAGGAATAAACTGAATACTGGTCATAACGCTTTAAAGCTTTAAGACCTTTTGTGTAATCGGTGTTCAACTCATCGAAGAAAGGTTTTAATGCTTCGTTCCAAAGTTTCACAAAGTTAGGTGGGATTGTGTCAGGGTATCCAAGTTTACTGACATCCGCAGTTTCAGAATAATTTTTGGTCATGAATTTGCCAGATGGATCTTTTTTGCCATTGAAATAACTTATAGAACTTTATATGGATATCAAAGATAAGTTTAATATCGTGATAGCGAAACGATTAACATAAATTATATTAAATCATTACACACTCTGTATCCCTAAAGATGAAAGGAATGGTTCGGATCTTTTTCTTTGGATCATCCTTATTGTACTCGTTCAAATAGTCAATTGTATCAAAAACTATTTGGTGAGGGGAAAGGTCCGGGCGACCATCGACATAAGGCAATCTCATTGCACCAAGCTCACCATACAAACGCCTTTCATCATCAGGATCATCGGTAAAGTAGTGAGTATGAATACGACCGCCAATACGATCTTGAACTTCAAGTATCGTAATATCATTGATTCCGGCCTCTTTCAAGAGAAGAGCTGAGAATAGACCTATGAGAGGATGCATAATATCATGAGGACGTGTACAATATTAAATGAATTATCCAAGTATGAAAAAATATAAATATATAAATATACCGGTTGCTCCGGCACCGATGATGCATATCTCTAATAATATACAAGACATATTAGTAATTCGTACAATATAAAAACAATAAAGTGATATATACTTGGATTTTCGGTTGGAGTATCTCGAGGAAATATATCTGTTTCTTCATCACTAATTCTGAAATAAATCAACATTAATGTTATGTTATCGGCGTTTGCTATTAAAATTGAGTCGTAAATCATTTTTTAGTAGCAAATCGTTTCTATATACGGTACTCACTTTTTGACGTATTCATGATAGTAATAATAGGCATTCAGGTGAGCCGTATATTTTTCATTACGAATCTGTTGCATCTTTTCCAGAGCCCTTTTCTGGGGTTGGCGAGTATATTTTGCATTCTTGCGCTCTTCTACAAATGTAGGATGTGAGAATACGGTTTTCAATCAAAGTTTATTTTTTTTTAAAAAAAAAAAAGTACACTTACGACCTATAAAATATAAATGGTAGATGTAATTGGTATTACAGTAGTTAGTCAACTAAAACAAATCATTATGAAACAAATTTTAAAGATGGATATTAAAAAAATCCTTACATTGAGCAATTATTGCAAGAGTTGAAAGAACTAACGTAACAATAAAAATAAAATGAAATTTTGATGTCATTGAGACGAATTCGTTTGAAAAGTTCAAAACGCGTAAGAGCGAGTAATTAGTTGGATTGCTATTTTATACTTTTTACTGAAGGTTAACCGAATATTCCATTCTCTTTTATTTTTCCTAATTAATGTCATGCAACTAGTGACGAGAATGGTGACACATAATGAGTGACACATAATTAGTGACACACCTCTCTAATTATTCAAGTTTTCTTAATTAAGTATACGGTATTCAGTTTATCCTCAAAATTCATATTTATAGATTTAAAAAAGGATCACCACCCGGTTTTTTTTTAGACCATTTATGCATGTATTCCTTGCGGTGTAAAAATTAAAGATATTTATACAAATTTTTTTTATTCTTGTAAGCTAATTAAGATAATGTTTGGAATTACAAATTTACAACTTTAGGTTACCTATTGTTATTACCGTTCGTTTTTTTTTTTTTTTTTTTTTTTTTTTTTTAAAAAAAAAGTTTGAATACAATACGATTATAACATCTTGTCATTTTAATGCAAAAATAACATATCCATTGTTGTTAAAAATAAGTATCTTTGAATAGAAGCTTCAATGTTTATTTTTATGACATACTGTGCATACATATACGTTGGAATTTAAAGCAATTATTGGTTAATTAATCAAAACCTTAAATAAATAATAATTGAGGATATACTTGTGTGCGGACTCGGTTATTAATAAAAAAAATAGGAAAAGGTGCAAAATTCGATTTGTGAAACATTTACAAACAAAGACGAAATAGATGATCTAAGAAATAATTTTCTACATTGATTGAGTTTTAATTCGCAAGCAACTGATGTAATATGAAAAATAAGATTCAAAATCTGATATGAAACTAAAAATTTTACAGACACACCGCCTATTCGAACAATTAGCTTTCCAAGTTAATATTTAATGATCCTTTACGATACGTGAAAACGTGATTTGATGTAACTTATTATTTACATCTTTTATAAAAATGGTCAGAAATTCATTATTTTTTAACCATTGTTAGTTACACAATGGCGCCTTAGCGGATATCATATTCCGGATTATTAATTTTAAATAATTTTTTTCAACCATTCTTTCAAAATAAATATTAACATGGAACAAACAAATGGTTATAAACTAAAAATTGATTATTTAATAACAAATGACACATTTAAGTCAACAAACTAAACCTACGCGTAAACTCAAGTATAAGAAATGTAATGATTGTAATCGAATAAGAAAATCCTCTGTTGAAATTCATCAGATTTGTCGTTTTTGCTATAAAACAAGAACAATTGCATCAAGCGGTAATAAAGTTATTGATGATTTTGTAAGATTCACACAAACAAATCGTGTTAAACATGCTGGACGATTGGAATTTATTCCATATGATAGATTCGAAGGGTAGAATTTATTGCCGAAGGAGGATTTAGTAAAGTTTATAAAGCAACTAATAAATATGATATTATTAATGTGACTGTTGCTCTCATGAAATTGGCAATTCTAAAAACATCAAATCTAAATGAGGTACGATAACGGTATCCTATTTTATGATAATAATGCCGTATTATGAATCGGATATGACACATTACTTTTCTTGGGAAGTTAAGACAAAAAGATTGGTTGATATTATAATAGGACTTAGAAATATACACCTAGCAAACATTATTCACCATGATTTTCCCAGTAGAAACTTTTGTCATTTAAATTTTTGTGTAACAGGCGATTTAGGATTAAGCGAAAATGAATGTTGCACCGGAGATTTTTCAAAGGCAAGAATATACTAAAATGGCTTTGGTATGATTAGGCCACGCACATTAGCATTTTCGATTCACGTCACCCGGCCGGGTCACCTTTTAAATTTTAACCAAAAAAAGTTTTACATGTAAAATTTTATCTCGTGAATTTGAAATATAATGCTGTTGTATTCAATTCTTTCGTTTAAGTATTTATATGTTTTAATGTAAGCAGAAGGGTTTTTATTAATAAGCAATAGAATAATTATAATGTAAATGTTATTCAATAAATTAATTAATCAGTTGTCTCAACATTGACGTTCTTTAACTCAAATAATTGCTAATCACTAAACGCTAATTAATTAAAGCTAATAATCGGAAGAATAAAAAAATAAATAAAAAATATTAAACATCGAAGTTAACGCATAAAAATTATGAAATTATAAATATCGCAAGAAAATACATTTAGTAAAACTTGGCATAACAATACGGTATCCTAACAATTGATCTTCAAAGACTAACCAAGGCGAAAAATTATGATTTTTTCGGGTGGAATTATATCCAATGTAACAACAATGACTTATAATCAAATCCGTTCTCGTCATTTCTTGGTTTATTTGATTTTTTATATTTCTTTCTTTGTATCTTCTCTTTTTTTACTTCCAACATTAACAGTATTCACAATACTCAACTCTCACAGTAAGTAATGCATTTGATTGGTTAGGATTTTGCCAAATTCATGCATTACTTACCGTACCCTCCGTGAACTGTGAAGTAATCCGTGAAGTTTCTCATTTTTAATCCCAAATCTACTCATTATAAATCAGAGAGTAATGAGCGAGAGGGAGTTAAGGAGTAAAGAATGATCAGATTCCCTAAAAAAAATAAATAAAAATAAAAATAAAATTTTAAATAATTTTTTTAGTTTATTATAGAAAATTTCAATGAAGGATAGAGTTAGAATATAATAAAAATGATGATTCTAGTAAGTTGATCTAACTTTATATTTTTCCCCGATAAAATATTCTTTCAGATTAAATAATTGGAATTATACGATTAAATTCTGATGAGTACATATAATATTGGCATAGAAATTTTTTTGAAGAAATGAGAATACAGATTTCAAAAAGTATTCCAGTTGATGAATCAAGATTAAATCATTTGAATCTAAGCGATATAAATACCTTTAAATCTAGAATTTCTCAATATTGAGCCTTTTACGTTAAAAAAAAAAAAAAAAAAAAAAAAAAAAAATGAGAAAGTTACCATAAGATACTTTTAGCTTCTTGTCGCACATACCTTTCGCACTAATTCGTTAAATGATTTTGTAATAACGCTTCTTCAATATAGGTAGGTATCCACGCTGTGGCGTATGATTAATCTTATTTGACAAACCTTTTAAATTTATTGAACTCGCATCTCTCATCCAAAGTTTGATTTCTCGTCACAATTGAAGAATTCATTGTTGCGGCATGCAACCTGATTTGATTCCTCATGCAAGTGAGAAACTAAAAATAAAAAGTTAGTAAGACTGCATAAAATATTTTTGGCATTTTTTATTATAACCAAAGGAGGTTTGTCTTCGTAGAGGAAAAATAGAAAGAGGTCTTTCAGTACAATAAGAGCTCTCCAATTGGAATATGCTAGTACTGTACATTTGACATCGCCATTAGCTTGTAAATCAGGAAATATTTACGTTAATAATAGGTACCATATTGCTAATCCTGCCTTAAAAAACTTTAGGAGTTGCTACGCCTTGAAGTCAAAAGTTGACGTCAACTTTGAATCCTTAAAAGTTGCTAGCTTCTTTAAGGCTGCAAATCAAATTTTGAAGTCAATTTATTCTTTTTTTTTTAATTAATAATGAATAGACTAAAAATTTTTTTTTGGTTTCTCTTAAAAAATAATTCAATTTATCGTTGAATTTTATCACATGACTATCTTGAAATTTTGTGGGGGGGGGGGGGTATTGTTGACATTAGTAAATTCATTTCCGTCTCAAATCCGTGTTTAAGTGAAGATAGAAAAATTACACTCCTTATACCTTCTCAGATATAATAATAAATAATGAATCCTTTCCAAAAAAATATATATAACCATATAATTTGAAATACCACCATCATTAGATGATAATGATAAATGACTTTAAATTATTCGTTTATCCTTTAAAGTTAGTACAGGGTGGATTGTTAAGTACGGCAGAAGAAAGAGATAAAAATGTTAAACAATTCCTAAAACCATTTTGTTCTACTTTTTGTTCAACTCCTCAGATAGTTCATGTTGAGATCATCATCACCTACAAATATTGCTGTTGTGGATACTACGCAAGTAAAATAATAAAAGCTCTTTTTGCAAATGACAACACAACATTGAAAATTATGTAAAGAATAGAGTGGCTACTATCTGAAGATTTTTCGCAAAAATCTTTTTTTTAAAATTACCCTCACGTTACATTTAGTCTGACAATGGTTCTTGTCCTTAAACATGTTACAAGTAATACAACGAAATTTAGTCTTTTGAAATTTTATTGATACTCATTTGGTCGTACAAATAAAAAAAAAACTGATTATAACACGAAGTTATTAAAAAAGTTTCTTTTTCAAATATTATTGGAGGGTCCATTAAATAAATATGACACATCGTTATTAGTATCTTCGTCGCAATCGTAGAACCAATTGTTTGCAGATCACTTTATCTGCAAGTGATGAACGTTTTGACTAAAAAAAAAAGTGAAAAAAAAGGTCAGTAAACCGAATAGATAAACTTAATAAGTATTTTGGCATTGCTATAACCATCCAAAGGTTGATTTGTCTCCGCAAGGGAAAATAGCAAGCTATAACCAACCAAGGTTGATTTGTCTCCGCAAGGGAAAATAGCAAGCTATAACCAACCAAAGTTTGATTTGTCTCCGCAAGGGAAAATAGAAGAGGCCTTTCAATACAATAAGAGCGTTTGGTAGTCACGAACGATCCTCACGTATGCGTCATCAGCTCTCCAAACTAATGAAAGCATGTAAAGGCCATGCAATCCGGAAGGAGGCTTCGGCAAAGGAACGGTTTGACATCGTCGTTAGATTGTAGAACGAGGAAATACTTATTTTACGACATATAAAGGAAAAAGCCAACAAAAAAGGGATAGGCGATAAAAACATTTGTTTTTTTTATTTTTATTATTTTGTGAGAGACTGATACCAGTATTTCTTTCTAAAATATTTCTTTTTTTTTTTTTTTTTTAAAAACTTGAGAGTTGTGAGAAAAAGAGAAAAAAATGTAAAAGGCGCTTATTAAACATTTTTATATTTTTTGATCGCAAATTGGGCTGGGTTGACGTAATAAATATTCATTTAATACGCCGGGTCAAATTTTAAACAAAAATAGTTTATATATAAAAAGTTTGTCATGTGGCAATAAAGTGTAATTTTATTGGTAGATTAAAGCTTATTGTCTATGTAAAATTTTGATATGCCGATTTTATTATGTAAGGTCTCATGATAAAAATTTTACTATAAAAAAAAATCCCTTGAATTTTCGTAAACTGACACGGTCGGGTCACAGAATCTGAAATTTTACTTTGCATGGCCTTGTCCCCTTAAAGATTGACCGATCAGATGGCATAATATTTATATATAAACTTTGTCTCCGGGTCGATTTTAAATTTCAATGTTACGTGAACCGAAAAATCGAAGTTGCATGCCTAATATCCATTATTAAAAGCAAAGTCAAGTGATTTGTAAATTACATACAAAATTTCAAAATAATCCTTTATTTAATAAATAGATCAAAGATTTAGCGTTAATAACGTCGAAAAATTATTTGCAAGACTCTTTTCGCTAAAACGATCAAAACGAGACAAAGGGGTAAATAGAATAATAAATCATATATATATAAAACATATATAAGTAACAAAGACAAAAGAAATAAAATAATTAAACATGAATATATAAAAGTAAAGGGGATATTGTCATCGTAATTTTGTCGTGACTATGAAAAAAAAAAAAAAAAATTATTTTAGTATTCCTTTCGAATTTAAACAATTTAGAATATGACATCAATACTTACACGACTTGGATCAATTCTATTTCTGTACATTAAATAAAGATAAATTAAAATTTAAATTTAAAATCATTATGACATTAATAATTTACTTACATTAATTTATTGACCTTAAAAACTTCGTAATCTTCAATAAATAATTCTTGTTGAGGATTTAAAAAGAGTTTTGCTTCAGGATAAGAATTAAGACCACCACTTATAAGGATATTACTTATAATTGCTAAATCTCGATTACCAAAAATTGGACCATAACTATTATTAGGTGAATCGGACTGTGATGCACATCTTGCAATGATACCCGAATTCGAACTGAAATCATCTATATTTGTAAAAGAAAACAAAAAACTATCTTTAGAAGTTGCTGAAAATTTCCAAGTATCAGGGTTATATCCTCCAATTAATTCTCCGGTATCAATAGTTTTAGCAATCAATAATGTTGGACCTTTGTCATCACATAATTCATGAAATTTTTTGTTGTCAATCCCATCCTTACTGGCTTTGAATATTAATTGAAATGAATAAGGCATGGTTCTACTATCATAATATTCATTATCCTTCTTATCAATCCAATTTGAAACCTTGGCAAAATGCCATTTATGAACGATTACTGGATTGAAGGATCGTTTCCTTGGACTCATTAAAACCGATGAATTTGGTAGTGACCTTGGGTTAATATAAAAATTAATTATATCATCATAAAGAATTTCTGGAAGAATCATTTTATAAAGCCGTATGTTATGATGAAATAACGCCGAAGGAATTTGAAACCATCTAACTAGTGGAATAAGATCATGAAGGATTTCCCGCAACTTGTTAAAATCATCTGTAGTCCAGTTAGAAATATCATTAATATTGGCAGTACTCGACATTTGATCCACTCCCCACTTCAATAAAAAATCCAAAATGTTATATTCTTTTATTATGAGATCGTCTCTTTGAAGAAGGTATTTTAAAATTGGCTTATCCACTGTTAAAAAGTTTGGTGATTTAAATAAATACTCGGAATTTTCACATATTGAACGTAAACAAACTTCTTTTAGCGCAGTGAAAGGATCTTTTAGATGAAATACAATATGTAGAACTTCAGCTGGATCTTCTTTTATAAAAGATTTACTTTCAAAGTCATAATTTTTAATAATACGATCGCTTATTCTGAAATCTAATTCGTCTGTTGCTATTAGAAGGTTCAATACTTTTAGTCCACTGAGATTATCCAAATCAATAATTCCGGTATAGACATACCTTTTTTTATTACCCATTAAAAGTGAAAAGAAGAGAAGTCGTTGAAATATTTATTCAAAAATAAAAATAATTAAGATAATATAATTTCAACTTACTTCAATAATATCTCCATGACATCGGGATTAATATTCGGTTTTTTAAAAATAATCTTTCCGTTTACTTTATGCGCCCAATCGTTTGATAACGCAGTTTTAAAATAGGTTGATCTAAGGGTCAAGATCAAGGAGTGCACGTGAAATTGTTTTATATTTACGCTCTCCCCAGCTTCAATAATTACATCGTAATTATCCCCGAAAGATCGTAATTTTTCGAAATCTTTTAGTAATTCTTCAACATATTTTATCGGCATTTTTTTTTTTTTCGAGAAAGATTCAAGGGGATAAATTAATTTAGTTCCATTATATATAATAAAAAATCCTGAAAATCCTGAACATCTGCATCATCATGTGCAGCTCCCCCAAAATGCACATCGTTGATTGTGTCGCTATTACATTATCGTCGTTTATCCATATACTAATATACCAATTCGAGAAACTGACAATTTTTATTATTTGAAACTTTTTATTCTTATTTTGGGGAACAAGTATTTTCGTCCGACATGTGAATTTTCTTCACTATAACAAAAGTTTGCCATATCGAGAGAGAACCCAGCTTAGTGGAATTACGATGATCATTTTTTTATATTTATGCTTATTGTAAATCTATTGCAAATAATAGTGGTTTTTTTTTCTTTAATTGCTAATTCTCTATTCATTGCTAATTCTATCATATTTCCTCATTAGGTTTCTTTTTCTTCTTCTTCTTCCAAATCTCTATCCTCTTTAGCGAGTAATATCCAGTCTTTGTAAAAACGGTTAACAATACTTTATAAAAATCTTCACGATGCTTAAACCGATATACCAATTATGTAAATCATCCCTAATGATAACCATGGTCACAAATTAATACTTCATCATACATAGGATTATCTGCAATAAATGGTTTGTTGCATAGGTCATAATTATTTGGTAAAGGGGAATGTGATGTGTTAAATCCAATTAGTAAGAACAATGGTATCAAGGACAATTTGTTTATAAATTCTGCATTTATAGTTGCCCGTAAAAACGGGTTTCGGCGGGTCATTGGCAAAATTCTTGTTGGTAAAACCGTCGAAACTCGAAACCATAATAAAATCCCGTTAAAAGTCAAAACTATATTAAGGACTTAGTATATGTATGAAAGATAAATCAGGTAAATCTGAATAACTGGTGTAACATTGAATAACAAAAATTTTTTTATGATAAAAACTTTTGCAAATTTTTTTGTATAAATTCTATAAAACTCTTCTCTCTCTTTTTTGATTGTATCATTTTACATATATGAGTAATGGTTAATCAATTTAGTCAAATTGGTTTTGATTTATTGATTTTTCTGATATTTTAATTTTCATTATAATGTGATTTTTGAATTTTGAATTTGTATATTTGGACGATAATTGGGAATAGATGCACAAATTATCTACTAATTTAACAGGTCGATGCATAGTAATGAATGAATTACATGATAATCATCAACTCAAAAATAAAGATTATTATTCTATGTTTATTATATCACATAAATAAATAACTTAAAGTTAAAATAAAATACAATAAAATTTTATTTAATAAAAATCATTACATTAGTTTTAACCCATAAACAGAGATAATTTTTTAATACATTCTCTTGAAGTTCCACATAGAGTCCAATTTCAAATTTTTAATAACTAGAAAATAGCAAGAAGGTAACAAAATCATTCAACTTCCATTTTTCGCGTATGTTTTTACAATCTTGTTTTAAGATTTAATGCATTACAAATTATTTAAAAAACCCTTGTAGATTTGGTTCTTGTTCTCAATTAATGTGCAAAAACTATCTTGATATAATTCTATAGGAAGTCCTTGTTTTTTTGCATGTCATGAAGAAACTTTGTCAAAAGTTTCCAAAATATTCCGCATAAACGGGGTATTTTATTTTTATTTGTACGAAAGAAACAACAAAAATTAATTGGTAATATAACTCTATTATTTATATCAAACTTTTTACCGGCGTTAAATTTATTTTAGGACTCTCCCTCGAAATTTCCTCATAATATTATACTCAACGTAAATTAATCAGCATTGCACAGTTTGCTTTTTTTTTTTGGTAATGCATCAAATTAATATGACACGTTCGTCATATGATTTACATTTTCACGTGACTCTTTTTTATAACAATAAAAAAGAAATAATATACAGTACGAATATCTTATTTTGAATTATAAAAATTTTGATGATACTTCGCTTCCCAAGAATTCTCGGCAAATGGATGGCGCCATCACTTGGAACGATCGACATCATATAATAACTTCCATTTAAAGTAAGTCATTCAGATCTTTATGACCATTAATATGGTAGAACAATGATATATCGATAATTTATAAATATATAAATACTCGGAACGCATTTAACGAATTATTTTTTTTTTTTTAAAAAAAAAAAAACCTTCTCACTAATTAATTTACCATGTCTCTGGATGATATTAGAGAAAGAGTTCTTTTGAATTCAGGTGGTGAGGAACGCGTCGAAGTCAATCAAAGACTTTTGATCGACAAGATTTTAGCTAGGTAAGTTCTTTTGAATCGATCGATTGTTCCGCAGAAATTTCGATTCATTATTTTTCCTCTTAGATACTCTTCTGAGTTTGTAGTATTCCGGGAGTTAATGCAGAATTCTGGTAAAAAAAAAAATTTTTTTTTTTTTTTTTTTTTTTTTTTTGATTTTCACACGTTAATTCATAATCTAATATTTATTAACAAAGATGATGCGAGATCATCAAGTGTGCAAATTAAATTCGAATCGGCAAATCCAAGCAAGGATAAAAATATTATAAAGGATAAAATCACACGAATTCTCTTCAAAAACAATGGATTCGCTTTTAGAGACGAGGATTGGAATCGATTAAAGAGAATTGCCGAAGGAAATCCTGATGAGCAAAAAGTCGTGATTTCTTTTTTTTTTTTTCTTCTCTTTTTTAGATAAATTAGAAAAGGTTTATTGAAATTAGCGTTTTTGTCCTCTCATAATATGACAGATCGGTGCTTTCGGTGTAGGCTTTTACTCATTATTCTCGGTCTGTGAAAACCCATTGTGAGTAATTATAATGATTTAATCAAATTATTCTTTATTAAACGTTACTAACTCGCTTGAGAAACAGCGTTACTTCCGGTAGACAAGGTATGGCTTTCTATTGGCGCGGTGACTATTTATTTGCCGGACAGGGACCAACCGATGAAGTCCAGGAGTGGACGACATTTTTAATGGACATGAGAGAACCTTTGGAGGTATTTTGACTCACGTTATTTAAAAGTAAAGCTTTTATGAGATAATTAGTCATTTTGAACACTCAAATCTTTTATATTTGCATTAATTAGCTTCCAAACGTTGAGAAATTCGCACGGTTTTTGGCTAATTCGCTGGTAAAATTATTAGAGCGTTTGTTCATTAGAATTCGTCATAAAATATTTAATTATAAAAAATTATAGGGGTTTACGGGGAATCTCCGAGAAATTTCGGTTTATTTTAACGATACATTGATGATACATCTGTCAAAGGAAATACAAAAACCTAGGTTGATGAGCACAACAGGGTTCGACGCATTCTCTTTACGAAAATTATTTCATCTTACTTCGGTAGAAGTTAGAAATGTTCAACTAGTCGCTAAGAGATTACTTGTTCCAACAAATATAATTACTGATTGTCAAACGAAAGAAACACCCATTTTTCTTGGAATCGTTAGCGGAAATTTGGATGTTAAACTCAGTGAATCGTTTTCTGCAGAAATGGAACGACTTACTAAAAAGAAACCGCCAAATAAAACTTCTGTTCAAATGATATTTACCGGTTTTGACGATCTCGATAATAATTTATCTGGAGACCATATTTCTCGAGTATTTAAAGATTTATTTCCACACCCAGAACAAGGAAGAATATATATAGGTTTTCCGACTCACCAGACCACAGGTTGCTGTTCACACTTTGCAGCCCGTGTGATTCCTACCGTACGTATTAGAATTTCTTTCTTTCTTTTTTTTTTTTATCATTAAATTAAATTACCCTTTTAGGTAGAAAGAGAGTCAATTGACTTGGTGGACAAAACCTTGGGTAGATATAACAAAGAGCTGTTACGCATCGCAGGATTATTGTGCAGAATTGTATATGAGGATGAGATGAATCAAATCGCACGAATTTATAATGAAATGATCGGTGCCAACATTAAAAATGATGATGAAAATATAAAATGTGTTCGCGAATGGCTTGAAAAACGAGCAGCACATGCTTTGACACACTTTACGTTCAGGCAAAGTACGCCAAATTCACGCGTTGGCAAAACAGCAGAGTTACAATTTTTCAATTGCTCAAAAAAAGAATTGTCTATATTATCAACGAAAGGTGTTCTTCCGTTATCTAGCGTTCGCATTCCTAATCCAGAAATGGAAGGATTCATAAAAGAAATTCCGGTTATTCCAAATACTATTCTTGAGCAATGCAATGAATTTTTAGTTAAACTGGAAGATATTATAAACGTGTTGTCCTTTCAAGATGTTCTATGTGAATTGAAAAGTCGAACACTTTGTGAAGATGAATTGATTAAACTTTCGAAATGGTGGATTTTTTATAGGTCAAATGGAAATGAAGCCAGTCCAGAGGAATTCGAACAGTTCATGAAATATGCCACGGTATGTGTTGGTGGTAAAAATCGAGCGTTAAACACATTTCGTTATTTTTTGAATCCAGGAATAGTTCCTCCAGATGTATGCTTTTTATTGGAAGTGTTTCCATATACCATTTCTAAACATTTGCAAAAGAAGGATCTTGAAAATTGGTTTGGATGGTCAGAACTGTCATTGGTTTACTGGGCAAGGTTTATTGTTAACGAACTCGATTTGGAGGTTAATCCCGCATTTGCCGAGAAAGTTCATTATATTCTTGAAAGAAGTATCAAAAATATTTCGCAAAATGACAAGGACATCATTCGTCGGTTATTTGCTAAAAAGAAATGCATTCCAACTAAGTTTGGAATGAAGATTCCTAGCGAGTCTTATTTCCAAAATGTTAATCTATTTCCCGACTTACCAACAATCCAATTTTTAAAACCTTCAAGCGTTCAGAATATAATGCAACTCTTGGGCGTTCGAAAGGTGAGAAATTTTTTTTATCTTTGTTTTTTTTTTTTTTTTAATATATATAATTTATTCTAAGGATCGAACAACTTGGTTCCAAATAAGGTCGTGGAATTACAAATCATTTTTGATCATCTTGTTAAGCAAGGAAATTGTGATCACATGCAACTTGTAAAATATCTTGCCTCGGAATCGGATAATCTCGGAAAAGATGAAATCATGAAATTGAAGACCACCCCCATCTGGCCTAAAGAAAATTTGGCAGAATTAAAACCTGAATTTCAACGCTTTGTAATTAGTGATTTGTACGTACCTTCATCTATACATCGCGAATTGGGTTTACCTTTACTTGATTGGAGAAAAAGATGGATCCGTAATACATTAGAAGGTATATTTTGATTGGGTATTTCTGTATCAAATATTCACATATTCAAGTTAACTACATTATATAGAAACTTTTCAAAAAAAAAATTTGCAGGGAAATTCTTAATTGATCTAGGCTTGCCGGAATATCCTGCACTTCAACAAATTCTGGAATTGGCAGCACCTCCAACCGATCCTAACGTTCGTAGCAAGGCCCTTAAATATTTTATTGATAATTTTAATGATAAATATTCTAAAGATTACGATGTGGAAAATGTTAATGTAGCATTTTTACCCTGTATGGATCCAAGCATTAACGCAAAGCCTTTAGAGTGTTTTATCAAACCTGAATGTTCAATAATGAAATTCAAAGCAATACGCCAAGATTTACGGTTTCAGGTGGAACAATTTGGTGTTCGTCATTATCCTAGCAATGAAGAACTCAAAAATTGGTTAATCGAGAATCCACCTCAAGATGTGGATAATGCAAAAAAAATCTTTGAATATTTGGCTTCACGACAGGGAGACTTTGATTGGAAGGTTATTTCTAATCTCAATTTTATCCCAATTCAAGATAAACTTCAACCTGATACAATTATTCGTGCAAATCCTTGTAGTTGTTTCTTTGCCAAAGCACAAGAAGGAAGGTATATTTGTTTCATTTGATTCACTTCAATAAAAGTTATTTCCTTATCTATGAATCGTTTGGGTTAATATTTTTTAAAATCTTTTCAGTCTGGATGATTACTTTACATTAATCGATTTTGGACAAAAGGCCAATAAATTTCTCCAAAGTTGTGGCGTAAAGAACCAGCCACTACCAGTAGACTATGCCAAATTATTAGTGAAATCATCAAGTGAAATTTGGAATTCGATCAATTCGATCGGGGATGCCAAAAAATATTTAATGATTTTAAATAGGATTGCCGCTGAATATGATTATAGTATAATATACGATCTAGGATTAGTTGTGGAAATGAAGAAAGCACCTATTCTTGTAGCCGCACAGATTGGCAAATATTGCTTGGCTTCAGCAGAAGACATTTACATAAATGATGACCCGGAGTATCAGCAAATTTTCAAACCATTATTCGCTCCAGAAGATGATAAATTGAAATATTTGTATACAGTACGTTACTTTTTTTTTATTTAATTAATTTTTAATTTATTATCAATTAATTAAATGATCATTTTGATTTAGGCTTTGGGAAGTAAATCATTACGTGCATCTGTTTCAGAAAATATAAATCCAATTGGTGGGGAACAAGAAACCGAGAATTCCCGAAAGCTACAAGAAACGATCATGGATAGAGCACATTTGTTCTATCATGAGTGTCAAAAAAGTGAGATAAGAAGAGATGTGGAATGGCTTATGAAGCTAAAAGTCAGAGAAGTCCAACAAATAAAAGCAACTTACACATTGAAATCAAAAAAAGAAACCAAAACCGAAAGTAAATTCGTTACTGCTTGTATCAAAGAGAAAATGAAGCAATCATGGATACTTTATATAACACCTAATTCGGAAATTATCGAAATTTCTGAACGTCTAGCCAGAAATATTTATGATGCAAACAAACGAAGGGATGTCATTTTTCTCAACATGCTTTTAACCACATCTTTATCGAAATTGGCAAATATGTTTCCAATTGATTGTATACCCAACTTGCCTAACTTACGCACCGTCGAGAATTATGTGATGAACAATGACATCCGACAATCCACTTTAACTCCTGGAGAACTGCAAAATACCTTGCAATCAGCCATTGATGCTTGTCGCTCTAACTTGGGAGGGATTAACAATCAAGCTATGGTCCAAATTGTCAAAGAAAATCAGCCGAGTTACTGCGACATTATTCCTGGTATGAACGATATAGTAACTTAATTATATCGATTTTCTCAACATTGATGTATTTTATCATTTTAGGTCATTTATTATACTATGTTGGAACTTCACAAGAGGTTAAAATTTACGTTCCAATAAATGCTGTTACCTCAACAAATCTATTTCAAACACATAGTGCTCAACTGAATCGTTTTTTGAACGTATTAAAACGACTTGCGGAAGTTTTTCAACTCGCATCAGAAGTTATTCATATATTCTATGACACTAATTCAAGTTCGGTTGCGTTTAACAGTAAGGGAGCATTGTTCTTCAATCTAAAATTTTTCCTAGAATCACATGATGATGAGTGTGAAATTGGGAACACTGGTAATGCCATGACTTACTGGTTTTTGACATTTTGTCATGAATTGGCACACAATATTATTTTTGTTCATAATTCTATACATGAAGTAAGTATCTTTTAGGGCTTAATATTTGATGGTTTGTAATAACTAGTCTGGTTGATAATTTTTAATTTCCATTTCCATTAGTTTTACTTTTCATCGTTCGCAACTATTTATATGTCAAGTTTCCAGGAGATGATGAATAGGTATAATGTTAAATATCAATAAGTTAAATGGTTATGCTTTTATTATTTCCGTATGCAGTACTACTTGACGTGTTTTTTGATTATATACAAGCTATTTAAGTTTTAGTAAGTAAATTATTTTCAATAAATATTCGATCAATATTAAGGGCAAATAAAATTATAGTTAATAGACAAGTTCATGATTTTATAACTTTTCTTTACAAAATTCTCTTATATTTTTTACTTAACATTCTTTACATAAATTTAAGATTATTTGTCTAAACCTATTTTTGACTTGCAAACATATCTAAACCATTATTTTTGCTAATCTTTTACTAAGTTTTGATAATATTGTAATTATTTATCTCTTTAGATTTTAATATAGGTTTTGTATTTTATTATTTAGATAATCTACTAAGTATTATTACCATTTTTGCATTTAGTAGAGTTTAGTGGTAATTTATATAGATCATTAACTGCAACTGAATCAGCTTAATTAACTTTAGAAATTACTGTTAAATGAATGCAGTTTCAGTTATAATGTTATTATTCACTTTTATTTATCATTTGTATTTGACTGTAATTTTTATTCTACTGAAAATTATAAAATCTATAGTAATAGGATCAGACTTTACATTCCAATATTTTTATTGCTATAATATTCTAAATGATAAAATCAGGTAATTATCATATCTATAAATGTTAAATTTACTTAAAATTTAAACCTAATCTTTAAGTTTAATAACAACTTGATTAAAATAAATTTTATAATATATAATGCAGTTTATTATTATTATTGGTTAATTAAGCTTTTAATTATTTATTAATAATTTTTTTACTTATTATCAAAAAAATTTTAAATTTAATTATTTTTGTATAACTGTAAGTGATTTACAAACTTATTATGTTTGTGTTAATAATTAATTTTGAGCATAAAATTTTAAAATGCAAAAGATTAATAATTAAAATATTATTTGTTCTTTTATATATTTATTTGATCTTTTTTTAGATTGATAAATTTTACTTGAGATATAGAAATCAATTAATTAATAGAGCAAATAAAAATATAAAAATTTGAAAAATTATTTTATTATTAATATATTTGTAATATTTATTATTAATGAATTTTTAACACTATATATAGTTTATGCTATATATTTATTAATATCAGGTAATTTCACTTTATATAATATTAGTCTCAAAAAGGAAGAGTTAGCTTCATATAGAAACTATAGCATTTTTATATATCAATATTCAATATCAATAATAATAATAATATTAATATCAATATCAATTTTAATATTAATTTCAATATCAAATACTAACAGTTATTTATATATAATTTTTTAAAAAAAAATTAGGATAGAATAATTATACAGTCAACTCTTGATATAGCGAACTCTTGATATAACGAATTTTTTGAACAAATATAATAAAAATACT